TATGTGTGTGTGTGTGTGTCGTCTGTCTGCGTGTCTGTGTATGTCTGTGTGTCTGTCTGTCTGTGTATGCATGTGTTGTGCTAGTGTGCGGGCAACTAAGGCATATGAACGGTGAATGTATACCCGAAGTGGCAATATCAGTTTTTCCACTTTTTTAATTATTTGTAACTGTGCCCTAGTTCACTTGAGTAAGAGAGCGAAATTTTGCACATCACTCACCATGTACTCAACAATGACTCCACGTTGATTTTTTTCCTGAACAAAAAATTTAACCTCGTGGTCACGTGACCCACATGCAAATAAACATGTTTTGTAACTTAGGCCGGTCCCAGAGTGGCTCTGTAGGTCTGACCTGTAGCTCGCCTGGCTCGCGTCGTGCAAATGAATGTATACATTATCGTGTGCTAAAGCAGCGTAGCTATATCGTCTGTTTTTTTGTCAGCAGAGCTGTGTGATGCGTCAGACGTGCAATTCAACAGTGTTGTAAAAATGGCAGACATGTGTCGTCTCGCTTCGTGTTTATTTTCGACTGAAAGTTTCAGTAAAACTCTTCACAGATTATCAAAATCAACAAGAAGTAAGTATTATTAGGTACTTTACTATTAAATATTGATGCTAGCATCAATACTTGGCCACAAATTCACCAAGAAATGCACTTTATCATACTTTGAAACTTCGAATCGAGAGGTTGACCTAGTTTCGACTGTTGTCGTAGGCCTAGGCCAAGGCCTAGATCTAGGTGTGCTCTGATTGATTTTGATGTTCTGTGAAGAGTTTTAGTTGAAAATAAACACGAAGCGAGGCGACACATGTCCGACATTTTTTACAACATTGTTGAGTAGCACGTCTGACGCATCGTGTAGCTCAGCTGACAAAAATCAGACGACACAGCGACGCTGCTTTAGCACACGATATTGTATACATTCATTTGCACAGTGCGAGCCAGGCGAGCTACAGGTCAGAGCTCGCTTGGCGCAAGCCGTGCGCGTGTCAGCACAGCCGCACTGTAGGTTGGCGCCTGTGTCTCAGCGAGCGCGAGGCACACTCGCAGCGTCTCAGCACAGCTGCACTGTGTGTTGACGTGTGTAGGCTAGGTGTGCAACTGACGGGTCTGCCTTGCTATAGTTAGGTACTTTGTAATCTAAGACCAATTATACCAAGACGGGACGACTCTTC